CTGCCAAGAATATTGTTTTTTTTCTCTACAACTTGATGGTAAGGCCCTAATGCTGAGGACACCAATTATTTATGTCAGGGAACATGAAGAAGTTGAACTCGTACCTAAACAGAAGCTTCACCTTACTGACTAGTGTTCACGGTACTGGAAGGTGCTACGCACACTACCCGAGGAGAAAAGCAATCATTTGCACCTCCTAGCTACAACCCCTGAAACCTACAACAGTGGCCTGTTTATAGGATATATTGGTACAGTAGTGGCACAAACACTATGGGAGTAACCAACTCCCATAAATCAGATTGGATTTAAGGTCCATTCCATGAGATGGAACCCACACTTGACACTACTAAAGTGACCAAAAATCTGACAATAGATAGCTCATGGGCCTAGAGAAAAACCTAACGCTACCATTCTGCTAAAGGAACATGGGGATAAAATGGTCCTAACTACATCCTCCTATACTCACAGATCAGTTCCTTACTCAGCCCTCATCAGAACAGCTTCTTCTTGCAACAGATGGAAGCTAATGCAGGGAGTAAGAAAGTTTGGAGCACTTAGTCCTGCAGAGAATTTACAGAGACTATGGCAGCATGCAGTGTCCACATAGGTTCAAGACAGATGGGGTTCCAGCACTGACAGGGGGAAGTGGACAGGGGCTCCCACTCTGAGCCAATAAGCTATCTACAACTGATAAACCTTGGTGAAAAAGACCCAAAAGTTTTCTCCAATGAAATTTCACTGGACTTATTAATCACACTTCAGGGCAGAGCCCAAGCCCAGGGGTAGTTTGCCAACACAAAATAAATTCAATGTTATTTTTGTAAATTTTTTGTTTCACTTTGCTTTTTTTCTGTCTTACAGTCTCTTTTACTTGTTTAATCTGGTTTCCATTTGTGTGCGTGTGTTTCTTGGTTTCTGTGTTTTTTAAGGGCACTTGAGAGAGAAAGAACACAAAGTTGGATGGGCAGGATCTGGGAAGAATTGAGGTAGAGGAAAAATATGATCAAAATATATTGTATAAAAACTTTCAATACAAATTAAAACCAGAAATACTGTATGATTAATTCTACAAGAAGGTATTTGTATACATAGCTAAAAGCAATTAAGCCAGTATGGCATATAGAAAATAAAACAAAGACAAAAGACTTATAAATGAGCCTTTAAGAGCTAGTTTTTAGGTAAGTTCAGAAAAGGTAGATACATAACAGATGTCAAATGGTTTTAAGGCAAAAATGCAAATAAAATATTTTTAAAATTTGAACATAAATAAAGAGGGCATTGTAGCCAAGTCACGAAAAACTAATTTTTAATACGCCCAAAGAAAAAGCTATAGAATATTTTCTCAAAAAAGCATAAGAAATATATCACCAATATTGCATTATATAGTTCCTTAATGACCCTAAGGAATATAAAACCTCAATCTGAATGACATTTGTGATATCAAAAAATTGACGTAGCTAATCTGATTATGAACAATGCAGGGGTGAGAAAAGATGGGAGCTAAATGTTACATGTGAGATGAAAGATGAAAGGGAACAGGAAGACACAAAGGGAGAAGAGGGTATTGAGATAAATATAGAAGAAAAAGTAAAACAAATTTTAGTTGGTGGAAGTGGAGGGTGCATCTGACTCTTCTGCCTGCTTCTGGACACTTTTCCTCCTACTGGGTTGTCTCATCCAGCCTTGACAGGAGGCTTATTGTATCCTGTTATGCTGTGTTTGGTTGATATCCCTGGGAGGCCTGCTCTCTTCTGAAAGGAAACAGAGGAGCAGTGGATCTGGGGATGGGGTAAGACCATCGCTCGGAGGAGGGGAAGGATAAGAGGCTGTGGTCAGAATGTATTTGAGAGAAGAATACAGAAAAAGCATAAAAAATTAAACAATAAAGCTTAATTCACATGCTAATCAAAACCTGACATTGAATCAATGAAAATTTCAGTAGCTTAGTGCTGTTACTATGACAAATAACAGTGCTGTTATTATGACAAAAGGCATCACAAGAGAGGAAAGGGTTAATTTAGCTTACAATTCCAATTCATAGTCCATCACTGCAGGGAACTCACAGAGGAAAGAGCTTGGGACAGCTGGTTACACCACATCCACAGTGAAGAGCATAGAGACACGCATGCACCCACGTTGCCTGCCTTCCTTGCTTTTCATTAGCTCTCTCCTCTCTTACGCAATTCATGGTAAAATAGTGTTGCCCATACTGGGCTTGGTCTTCCTACATCAATGAACAATTAAGACAATCCCTCACAGACATGTTCACAGGCTAACCTGATCTAGGTAATCCCTCACTGAGGCTTTCTTCCCAGGTGATTCTAAATCTCAAGTTGACAAAACTAACCATCACATGTAGGAAAGAAATTTACCTGTAGGATACATGACCAGAAAATTTTTCAAAAGCCCATGTATCTTCAGTTACCTCACCTTTGCCAATGGTATGAAAGATACACATTGGAGAAAAGATAGCATGTTCAACAAAGAGTGCTGGGAAAGCTGGATGCCTGGGTATAGAACAATGACTCTAAATACCCATCTAGCATTCTGCACAAAAAGTCACCTCCAAATCTGTCCAAAACTTTAACATAAAACTCTGAAACTGCTAGAGAAAAAGTAGGGAATGCCCTACAAAAACACACAGGAACAGAGAAGGACTTCAGTCTCTCAGGAAATACAACTGACAACAATTGATAAATGAAAGCTCATGAAATTCAAAACCACCTGTACAGCAAAGGAAACTAAAACATAAAGGAAACTCATTAGAATAAGAGAAATTTTCCATCTATACATCCAACAGAGGCTTAATTCTACAATATACAAGAAAGTAAATAAACCAACATCAAGAAAACAACCCAGAGCTGGGCAGTGGGGGCACACACCTTTAATCCCAGCACTTGGCAGGCAGAGGCAGGTGGATCTGAGATCTGAGTTTGATGCCAGTGTGGTCTACACAGTGAGTTCTAAGACAGCTAGGGATACATAGAGAAATCCTGTTTGGGGGAGGGGAGGTTGCTGCCCCCCACAAAATGTCCCATATGTTGGAACTGAGAATTCTCAACAGGAAGAAAGACAAATGCCCAATAAACATTTCAAAAAATGTTTAATATCATTAGTTATCAGGGAATGCAAATTAAAGCTACTTTGACATTCCATCTCATCCTGGTCAGAATAATGATCTTCAAAATGTCAATGAATACAGGAGAAGCTATAGGGAATAGGGTACTCTTAGGCATTACTCTTGAGAGTAAGAACTGGTACAACCACTATGGAAATCAGCAAGGATGTTCCTCAAAAGCTAGAAATAGAAATGATACTGTTAGTTGTATCCAGTGCTGAGAGAATACATTCAATAAGAGATTTAAAAAAAGAAATTCTTGGCCTAACTACTAATACCACCCAGCTTTTAGTGACTGTAACAAAGCCTTGAATTTTATTTTCGGGCCACACTTTTAGAGGCTTCAGTCATCACCAGCTTACTGTTTTGTTTTTTTTTTTTTTTTAAGTTACATTTTAACTGTATCCCAGCTGTATCCCTCATTCCCTCCCAACCCACCCTCCCTCCCTCATCTCCTCCCTGCCCCTTTCCAAGTCCACTGATAGGGGAGGATTTCCTCCCCTTTCATCTGACCCTGTTTTATCAGGTATCTTCAGGACTAGCTGCCAAGTCCTCCTCTGTGGCCTAGCAGAGCTGCTCTCCCTTGTGGGGTGGGGAGGTCAAAGAGCCCACTACTGAGTTCATGTCAGAAGTAGTCCCTGTTCCCCTTACTAGGGTACCCACTTGGTTACTGATCTACCACGGGCTACATCCGAGCAGAGGTTCTAGGTTATATCCATACATGGTCCTTGGTTAGAGAAACAGTCTTATATAAGACCCCTGTGCCCAGATATATTTGGTCCTTGTGGAGCTCCTATCCTCTCCATGTCATACTAACTCCCCCTTCTTTCATGATTCCCTGCACTCTGCTGAAGGTCTGGTTATGAGTCTTAGTATCTGCTTTGATACACTGCTAGGTAGGGTCTTTCAGAGGCCCTCTGTGGTAGGCTCAGGTTTGGTTATGAGTCTTCGTATCTGCTTTGATACACTGCTAGGTACAGTCTTTCAGAGGCCCTCTGTGGTAGGCTCCTGTCCTGTTACTTGTTTTCTCCTATGTCCAATGCCCATCCCATTTATCTTTCTAAGTAAGGATTGATCATCTTACCCCAGGTCTTCTTTCTTGTTTATCTTCTTTAGGTGTATAGATTTCATTATGTTTATCATATCTTATAAGTCTATATAAGTAAGTATATACCATGTGTGTCTTTCTCCTTCTGGGATACCTAACTCAGAATGATCTTTTCTACAACACATGCTGGAGAGGTTGTGGAGAAAGGGGAATCCTCCTCCATTGCCGGTGGGAATGTAAATTGGTACAACCACTTTGGAAATCAATCTGGCGCTTTCTCAGACAATTAGGAATAGTGCTTCCTCAAGACCCAGCTATACCACTCCTAGGCATATATCCAAAAGTTGCTCAAGTACACAACAAGGACATTTGCTCAACCATCTTTGTAGCAGCTTTATTTGTAATATGCAGAACCTGGAAACAACCCAGATGTCCCTCAGTTGAGGAATGGATACAGAAATTGTGGTATTTTTACACAATGGAATATTACTCAGCTATTAAAAACGAGGAAATCATGAAATTTGCAGCTTACTGTTCTTATCCTGCGGTGAGGTTACATATTATGGCAGGAGTGTGTGACAAAACAAAGCTGTTTAATTCATGGTCAAGATGCAAAAGAGAGGAAGGAAGGGCTAGAGTTTCATTATACTCTTCTGGTGTTTGTCTTCCAACAACTACAACACTGTCTACTGGGCCTTACTGTAATGTTCTCACCAAATCCCAACAGTGCTAAGCTAAAAACTAAGCTTTTAATACATGGGTCTTTGGGAAACACTCCAAATCTAAACTTTGGCATTATACTAATTTAAATGAATAAACCCTTTCCCCACTCACCTGTACTTTTTAGCTAGATCATCCCTTTCTGTTTTCTGTTGAGCAAGTATATTATCCATAACTTCTTTTATCTCTAACATCTTTCCAATGTATTGTTCTAGAAATACAGTGATAAAATACAAGATCAGCTAAATGAAGAGTAGGTAATGCTGAATCTGTTCACCCAAATTTAGACCTATTTTCATTTATTGTTTGAAATGGGGCTTAAATCTTCATTGTTCCCAGCCCACTTACCAATACAAGTGGTCAAGATACTTAAATCAAAGCTTATTTAATTATGTCATCCTTATGCCCTGAGGTATTCAGAGAAGAACACTGTACAAAGAAAGAACAGTCATTCGTAAATTCTAATTGTTACCCCATTGATTTATCCTCTAGGAGCTGGGATTCATCTGATATATTTCTATGATCAGCTCTCTTTTCTTCTTGTCTGTCTTGTATGTTGTGGTGGTGTGCATGTGTGATGTATGCAAATTTATATATTTAGAGAGATACATGCACCACACATCGGCATGAGGAAACCAGATGGAATTTGGGTTGCCAGATTTGTGCAGTGAGCACTGAGAAATCTCCTTAACTTTCACTTTACTTTTTGGGACACAGTCCCTCACTCAAACTAAAGTTCACTATTTTGGCTAAAAAGACTAAATATTTATTTTCCTTAAAAAAATGTTATCCACTGTAATTTGGTCTTTTTGATACTACTTTTCAAAAGTGTCTACAACTTCACAAAATAAGGTCAAACAGTCCTAGAGCAAACCATACATGGTGAAAACACAGGGCACAAGATATTCAGAATTTATAGATGTAAATGGTACATGACATCAATATATCACTTTTATTATTTCTAGAACAAAGAACGTGATCTCTGAAAGAAAAGTAGTGACCACTTATATCTTTCATATTAACATGGGAAGTAATTTTATTTCTAGCCTTTCCGAAAAGACTGAGTTTATCCACCAGCCTAGAAACATTGTTTAATTAAAAATCAAAGTTCCATCATTCTTTTTTATCATTTAGGCATTTAATTTTTCTTCAGTCAAAGTTTCAAAGATTATTCCAGTAACTCCTTTTTATTTATTTTTCATTTTTACAAGACAAGGATTTTTTTTGTGTAGCCTTGGCTGTCCTGGGCTCTTTTTGTGGACCAGATTGGCCTAAAACTCACAGAGATCTGCCTGCCTCTGCCTCCCCGAGTGCTGGGATTATAAGCATGCCTCATCCCTATTCCTCTTTAATTTTTAAAAATGATCTTCCTTACCACAGTAAGCTGACCATGAAAGAGGGGAAGGCGTCCTCAACATGTCTTCTCATCTCCACACATGCTTCATGGCCTATGCCTGCCACACACACCCCCATAGGTCACTCTTCCAACTATTATGAACTTAGAAATAAGTACATATTTACCTGCATCCTCAGAGTTTCTTAGTTCAAACTTTAGTAAATTTTCTTGTTTCTCTTCTATATCTTGTAGAATGGCACTGATGGTCTGGCGCTGCCAGATAAAAATGTTATGAGTTCCACTATAAGAGGGGAGACGTAAAGGCAGACAGTCTGACAAATACAAACAATATACAGCTTAAAAGCTCATCTTTCTCTGTTCTCAAAATGTACTCATGTTTTATGTAATTTAATTGAATGAATGTTGAAGGGATATATAAATAAATTTAAATATACCTTGCTTTATGTAGTGGGTCTACTGAAAAACAGACAAAAAGGAGTAACCATATAAGGAATTATAACTTCTGACTTCATTTGAAATTGTAGAAATGTGAGAAAAAAACCTAACATATACTATTTCAGGATCACATATGCAACAAGTTCCCTTTTAAGACTGCATGACTATCACTGCTCATTATGAAAATCCCGACCCAAACCCTAGCTATATGAAGCACTATTCTCAAAATGCACACAAAGGAGGTTTACAGCTGCTCTGTGTCCTTTGCAATACTGATTTCCTGTCTAAAATGCACTCCCAGTTCCCTTTATTTCAAGAACCAGGAAGCGGGCTCTAGAGGCAGACTGCCTGTGTGTGAGTTCCAGGTTCCAATTCTTCCCGCCTGTCTGCAAGTTACTTTTCCTTGAGGATATATTCATGTAAAATGTTAACAACAGCAGTAGAAAGTAAGAGCTCAATAAATATTGGCTATTATTGTTCTAGACAACCCATTTCAAATATTAAACCTCTGCCTAATATAATCCACACTGACTTGTCTTTTCATAAATTAGTAATTTTAGAGCCACATGCTTTTTACAAAATATTTCATGTCTTATAAGCTAGAACATGTTTTTAAAAATTTTTTGTGTATGCTTTACAAAATCATGTACACATAATTGTCATGCAATAAAAGACTGATGGACTAATATACATTTTTTTCATAAAATCTCAATATATATTATTATTTTAATTAGTGTCAAAGCCTAGAAAATTCTTTACATACACACATTTGTTTGTTTGTTTATTTAGTGTGTGCATGTGTGTGTGTACTTACGCACGTGCAAAATTTGGAAGTTGGTTCTCTCCTATCATCTGGATTCTGGGGATGGGACTTAGGTGGCCAGACTTGGTGGCAAGTGCCTTTACCTGGTGAATTTTCTTATTAGAGATGGTAAAGCAATCTTTGTGTTGCCATTTATTAAGTGCATCATAAAAACTACAAAATATTAAATTGTAAAACAAACAAAAAACTTGAGGTCTATCTCTTTATATGGTAAATTGCTTATGATTACAAAAGCAAACACAGTAAATCACACAGCATTATCTTGACTCATTCTGTTCAACTGACATTATCATGAAAAATTAACATTCAATCCATGTCCTTAAAATGAAAAGATTGCTGTCACTATCCAATGGCTCTTTGAAGGAATGGTATTTTCTGGCTGAAGAATGAAAGAAATCTAATTTCACTCACCTCAGGAAGGCTTTCATTTCCCTTTGCCTTTTGTAAGGGAGGAGAACCAATAGCTTTGTCATCCTTACAAATACTTTGCTTATATCTTTTTGGCCGAACAGCAGGAATTTTTACTTAAAAAAATAAAGTTATAAAATAAGAGTGGTCAAAAGTATTGTTTTCGTTTATCAGTTTTAATTGTGAAAAGGAAGAAAAAGACAAATTAAGATTATAATTATTGCCTTAATGCTAGCTAGCTTCTCATTATTATTACCTATGACAACAGCACTTATTACATACTAGATTATTTCTTGGTGTACCATCTTATTTAATATTCAAATACTTGTATGAACACCTTGAAGTAGGCAGTTTGTTACAAATTTTATTATAAGAAGTGAAATGTCAGAAGTTCAGGAAATTTCCCAATATGACACAGTTAATTACTGAAACTAGATGCTATCTGAATCCAAGTCCACACTCTTAACTACTATGATTCATTGCTCTGGAGTGCTCTCTTGGACTCACTTTCTATTATGCCCATGTCACCATTTGTTCTATACTCCTCATTCCTCTGAGAATCTGACCAAAGAAATATACATTCAAGACACAGTAGACATAAGAGTCCCAATATCTCCAAATTTCAAGATTCCTTAATATGGTAAACTCAGTAAAATTATGGAGCTTAATCTTCAAGCATGGCTGTAGGGAAAGCAAACTCAATGGGCTCCAAAGAAGAGAAGAATGTTTCATGTGATCTAGACCACTAATAATTAATTACACATTAAATATTTTTGTTTTAACCAAATACAATAGAAATCCATCTACTGTTGAAAATCAACAGCTGGTGAAAAGCATGGTAAGCCTGGAAAGATATGTCTCACTCCTACATTCTCTACAGCAAGAGCAGAAACATCCCCAAGTTTCTTCTGAGTCAAGGTTCAATCATGAGGAAAAAACAAAATAAACAACAAACAAACAAAAAAGCTAACTCTTTTCAACGCTTTATAAAGTGTAAATTACTGCAAAATTACTTGATAAATTTATGCCTAGTTATACATTTTCTTCAAATAGTCTCTTTACTATGAATCTAATAAATTCAGAAATCATTACACATTTTTAACAGAATGAAATTTTAGCTCTTCTGGCCCTTCTACAATCAAATCAGCAGCTTGGTTTGAATTATGTCTCTGTCTCAAAACAAAGGTAGGGAGATCAAGGTTTGCTGAACACATGGTGTGTTTCACTTCAGTAATCTCAATCCAATGGCATCATACGGGTTTAGAAAAAAGGCTTATTTCCTACCAAAAATGCATAATTCCTGGGCTTGATCCCTAACAATAGATCTAAAAACTCCACGTCCTGAAGATGGGAACTGTGGAAGAGAAAAGCGTATCTATGATGGAATAATTTCAAATGTGTAAGATTTGACAATAGGCGCTCATGTGTTGCTCATACTTTCCCTGCATCCACAGGGTTTTTCACCAACATACTCTTCCCAGCACTCAGGTTCTATTTACCCTTCAATCCTCAACATCTACATACTAAATCTCTAATTTCTCCCAGAATTGACTACCATCACACCCCTGGGAAATAAAAATATATAGCTACCCATTATCTTTTGTTATCTAGACAATAAATTATAGTTATGGTGCCACTTATCTCTCGTTGCTTCTTCCTGAAATAGATAGGTAGCTCAAACCCAACAATGTTTTGTTTGCATTTTTCTTTTAGCTTTATTGTGGTGCTTGCACATCACAGGTAATACATGTTCTGTAGAGACCAATTTAGATTTGGGTCTCTCCCCTTGAAACCAACATGGATTGTCCCTCTCCCTTGGTGTAGAGGAACACACCAACTCCCTGGAGGAGCCTCCAGCCAGCTAAGCAACCCTACAATGAACAACTAGTGGTCTATAAGGTTCTGTGTTGTTAGGCTCTGTGTCTAGTGGCCAGCTGGTGTCTTCCTAAACAATAATGTGTATGGATGCAGAAGTACACAAACCTCAAGAAAGCCCCACAGACATTCCAACAGGTGGTTTCTAGACCAGTAACAGCAAATGTAACCATCCAGTGGGTCACAGAAGACTTTATGAACCTAGAGACTGGTTTCCAAAGTATTAAGATTCGGGCATCAGGTAAATGCCTAGCTGTACTGCCCCTCATGAGAGATTTGTACACAAATATAAAATTAAAAAAAATTTATATACTATGACAATATTAATAAAATAGTATCTTTTGTACTAAAAAATTAAAAAGGTATGTGGAAAGGGGAAAACTAAATTAGTAATACATGCTCTATAAATTTTATTTTTAGGGATTTATTTTTATGTGTGTAAGTGTTTCCTATATATATGTCACTGGTCCTGTACATGCAGTGCCTGCAGAGGCCAGACGAGAGCATCAAAGACCTTGAAACTGGAATTACATGTGCTTGTGAGCCACCATGTAAGTTCTGGGAATTGAACCTGGGTCCTATGGAAGAGCAGCCAGTAATTTTAACTGCTGTGCTATCTTTCCAGCCCCTAAATAAAAAAAAAAAATAGAATACTAATTTCTAAAAATAAATGATGTATTTTGAAGAACAGAGGAAATACCAATACCCAGTTAGGAAATAACATTATACTATATATGAGATGATTTTATTTTGCCAAGCAGAGGTATATTTATATACCTGTATAAAATAAAAAGTAATGTTGACATGCCTACCAGTAACCGTAGAGTTACTATCATCTCCATTATTGGTCTCAACAGCACCATAAGATTTTAGTAATTCTTTCATGTTTTCATTTTTTGCTTCCTCCAAAGCACTCTTCTGTTTCTGATCTTTCTGATTAGGGTCTGCTCCATGTTCTAGGAGTATCTCAGCTGCCTGGAACGTAATATTTTGAGGTTATGTTTACATATCTGCTTTCATCTTAAGACACCACCACCAAGCATTTATCTTCAGGTTATGGACAAGAAGCATTTCGATTTGATATGGTAACTATAACTGTAACTGATTGAGCTTGACTGGCCCCAGAAGAGAACATTAACAAGCACAAAGCACAGTGTGCTGCTTCCTTGTAGAAAAGAGGTAAGTACAGGTAATGCTCCGTCTAGTCACTTCTGCCCAGAAGAATTTCTGTGCCTATCGTTCCCAAAAGTAGCTGTAAACCATATGTGCCCTACTGAGTATCTGAATCACAGCAAATATAACGAGATAACAGAATTCTTTATTATATTAATTCAAATTAAAATAGCAAAATGTAGATCACAGCTACTGCACTGACAGCACAGGTCTACACAGCACAGTCACTTGTATACATTGTGGCGTCGCTGATACAGTATCACTGCTCTGCCCAACCTTCTGGTCGTGTAAAGATGGCAAGCCTTGCTTCAGGACTACATTATAGTATAACCCATACTGCTTGTTACCAATTCAGTGTAGTTTAATGAAATTCTATTTGGACAAGCATTCAGGTGAGTTTACCAACCTAACATCTATTCTAAAATCCTCTATCGAGAAATATGTGCCCTATAAGGCACCAAAGATGGAAGTAATATTTAGAAATGATCTACTCTGTTCCTTGTCTTCTCCTACTTCCGATGTCTATCCTGTTTGCCCTTCTAAATGAAGATTGATCATCTTACCTAGGATCCTCTTTGTTGTTTAGCTTCTTTAGGGGTATAGATTTTAGTATGTTTATTCTATATTATATGGCTAATATCAAGTACAGAGGCCTTCCACAGAGGACCTCTGAAAGACTCTACCCATCAGGGTATCGAAGGAGATACTGAGACTCAGAGCCAAATTTTGGGCAGAGTGCTGGAATCCTTATGAAAGAAGGAGGAGATAGAAACACCTGGAGGAGACAGGAACTCCACAAGGAGAGCCAAAAAACCTGGGCCCAGGGAGCCTGCAGAGACTGATACTCCAACTAGGGACCATGCATGAAGAGGACCTAGATCTCCCTGTTCAAAGAAAGCCCATTGGCTGCTCAGTTTCAAAGTGGGTTCCCTAATAAACAGGGGCTTTCTCTGACAGGAACTGATTGGCCTGCTCTTTGATCACCTACCCCTGGGGGGGAGGGTGTGGCAGGGTGCAGCCTTGCCAGGCCACAGAGGAAGATCATGCAGCCAGCCTTGATGAGACCTGATAAGGTAGGGTCAGATAGAAGGGGAGGAAGTCCTCCCCATCAGAGGACTAGGGAAAGGGAATAGAGGGAGAAGGGTGAGGGTGGGTGGGACTGGGAAAAGAGGGGTGAGGCTGCAGTGGGGATACAAAGTGAATAAACTGTAATTAATAAAAATTTAAAAATAAAAATATGATGTCATAAAAAATTAAAAGAAATTATCTACTCTAACACCATCATTATACAGAAAGAAAATAAGTCAAAAGGTTGTGCCATTTCATGATAAATCATTTGTAATATAAATAAGGTTACTCTGAATAACTCAAATTGAGTGTTACAAGGACTAGAGAGTTGGCTCAGTGGGTAAAGGTGCTTGCTGCCAAGCTGGATGACCTGAGTTTGATACCTGGGATCCACATGGTAGAAGAAGAGAATCCACTAACAGAGGTTGTCCTTGGACTTCTGTACAGTACCCTAAAAGTGCCCACAAATATAGGGCCCCACATACAAATGAATGAATATAATAAAAATTAAAGTAAACTAAAACAAAAAGTTGCATGTTAACATGCTGGTAGCTCACAACTGTCTGTAGTTCTAGTTCTAGGGGATCTAACATTTCTGATCTCCACAGGCTCCTGCACATGTGTGCTGAATACATACACTCAGGGTACATACACATAAAATGAGATAAAATAGTTTAAAAGAGTTGTGTTAGGAGGAAGACAATGCAGCCAGTCCTGATGAGACCTGATAAACTAGGGTCAGATGGAAGGGGAGGACCACCTCCCCTATCAGGGGACTAGGTGAGGGGCATGGGAGAAGAGGGAGGGAGGACAGGATTGGGAAGGGACGAAGGAGGGGGCTACAGCTGGGATACAAAGTAAATAAATTCTAATAAAATTTAAAAAGATATTAAAGAAAAAAAAAGATTTGTGTTAGAAGTTTGTAATCAAACAAAATTAAAAGCAGCTAACATTTAAATTACAGTATAAGCAAAACAGTCTAAGAGCCAGTGATCCTACAGTGAAGCTAGTCACTCAAAACTATGGGAGATATGTAATGGCAAAAATACGTTCAGAACTTGAGTAATATGGAGGCTTACTATGTGACAACAGATTTTTACCTTTCTGCTTATACAAAGAATACAGAGACAAAGTAGACATTTAGAAGCCACTGAGGCAGCAGAAATTAGCATTTATCATATGACTTAGGAAACATAGTTTCTCCTAATCTGAGAGTCCGGTTCTTTTATTTCGTTCACGTCTTTGAAAGAATTTCTTTTTTTTTTAATTTTCATAGTCTAACTTGTCAGGTCAGCCATTAAAGCCCATGCCTATTAGATTCTACTTAGGAAATATTTGCCTATCTGAAAAATCACATTTTCTTCTGCTTTCTTTTAGGAGGGTGTCTTAATTAACTCTTTCAGATCTATGACCCATTTAAAGTTAATTTTTCTATATAGATTAGAAAGATTAAGTTTCTAAAAATTTGCATATAGAAATCTAAAGATCCAACTCTATCCAACTTTGTATCACTGTAAAAAATCAACTGACCATATTTGTGGGTCTATATCTACATGCTGTTTTCTGTCCAGTTGATTTGTATATAAACAACTCAGTGGTTCTTAATTACGGTGGTTTTTCCCCATGGATGTACTCAGCAATGTCTAGAGACATTTTGCTTCTCACAGACCGAGGTTATGGATACAGATGGCACTGAGTAGGTAGAGATCAGCAATGTTGTTCAACATCCTGTTTATGTACATGGTAGCACTCAACGACTAAGAAACATTTAGTGGTGCTAATGTTGAATACCCTGTCCTGAATTGCATTTCTTGATTGTTCCAGATATAGGATAAGTATCTATACCTTATAAAAGATGTTGAACCATCAAAGACTGCATTTCAAAACTCTCAGCTATTTTTTTATTTTTATTTTTTATTAATTACACTTTATTCACTTTGTATTCCCCCATAAGAACCTCCCTCCCTTCCCAGTTCCTCTTCCCCCTTCTTCACACATGCCCCTCCCCAAGTCCACTGATAGGGGAGGTCCTCCTCTCATTCCTTTTGATCTTAGTCTATCAGATCACATCAGGAGTGGCTGGCTGCATTGTCATCTTCTGTGGCCTGGTAAGGCTGCTCTCCCCTCAGGGAGGTGATCAAAGAGCAGGGCAATCAGATTATGTCAGAGGCAGTCCCTGTTCCCATTACTATGGAACCCACTTGGACACTAAACTACTATGGACTACATCTGTGCAGGGGTTCTAGGATATCTCCATGCCTGGTACTTGGTTGGAATATGAATCTCTTGGAAGAACCCTGTGTTCAAAATTTCTGGTTCTGTTGCTCTCCTTGTGGGGTTCCTGTCCTCTCCAGATCTTACTATTTCCCACTTCTTACATAAGATTCCATGCACTCTGCCCAACAGTTGGCCAAAAGTCTCAGCGTCTGCTTTGATAGTCTGCAGGGCAGAGCCGTTCAGAGGCCCTCTGTGGCAGGTTCCTAGGTTGTTTCCTGTTTTCTTCTTCTTCTGATGTCCATACTCTTTGCCTTTTGTTATGGGGATTGAGCGTTTTAGTCAGGGTCCTCTCTCTTGATTAGTTTCTTTAGATGTACAGATTTTAGTAGGTTTATCCTATGTTATATGTCTATATGAGTGAGTATATACTGTGTGTGTCTTTCTGCTTATGGGACAGCTCATTCAGGATGATCCTTTTCAGGTCCCACCATTTACCTGCAAATTTCATGATTTCCTTATTTTTCTTTGCAGAGTAATATTCCATTGTGTAGATGTACCACAGTTTCTGCATCCATTCTTCAGCTGAGGGACATCTGGGCTGTTTCCAGCTTCTGGCTATTACAAATAAAGCTGCTATAAACATGGTTGAGCAAATGTCCTTTTTGTGTACTTGAGCCTCTTTTGGATATATGCCTTGAAATGGTATGGCTGGATCTTGAAGAAGCACTATTCCTGTTTGTCTGAGAAAGCGCCAAATCGATTTCCAGAGTGGTTGTACAAGTTTACATTCCCACCAGCAGTGGAGGAGGGTTTCCCTTTCTCCACAACCTCTCCAACATGTATTGTCACTTGAGTTTTTCATCTTGGCCATTCTGATGGGTGTAAGGTGAAATCTCAGGGTCGTTTTGATTTGCATTTCCCTGATGGCTAATGACGTTGAGCATTTCTTTAAATGTTTCTCTGCCATTCTATATTCCTCTACAGAGAATTCTCTCTTTAGCTCTGTTCCCCATTTTTTAATTGGATTACTTGGTTTGCTGCTTTTCAGCTTCTTTAGTTCTTTATATATACTGGATATTAGCCCTCTGTCAGATGAAGGGTTGGTGAAGATTCTTTCCCAATCTGTAGGCTGTCGTTTTGTTTTGATGACGGTGTCCTTTGCTTTACAGAAGCTTTTCAGTTTCATGAGTTTCCCATTTATTGATTGTTGCTCTTAGAGCCTGTGTTGTTGGTGTTCTGTTCAGGAAGTTATCTCCTGTGCCAATGAGTTCAAGGGTATTCCCACTTTTTCTTCTAAGAGGTTTAGTGTGTCTGGTTTTATGTTGGGGTCTTTGATCTACTTGGACTTCAGTTTTGTGCTGGGTGATAAGTATGGATCTATTTGCATTTTTCTACATGTAGACATCCAGTTAGACCAGCACCATTTGTTGAAGATGCTATCTTTTTTCCATTGTCTGGTTTTGGCATCTTTGTCAAAGATCAGGTGTCCATAAGTGTGTGGGTTTATTTCTGGGTCT